AAAAAAAAAAAAGAACAAGAAGAAAAAACATAAAATAAAAATAAAATAAATAAAAATAAAGGCAAAAATTCCTAGACACTCCCGGCGTGGGCGATCATGGCAGTCTCAGGCGGCGGTGGAGGAAAAAGAATGATTGCAATGCAGCAGCAGATCATACACGAAAGGTGGAGGAGGCTGGGGGCGCACAGCAAACGCAGGACCCAACTAAGCCTAATCCTTCTAAGTCTCTCTGCAGCCGCCGAGTGGATTGACTGAATCTCGACCACGACCCGGAACGGAGCCTTTTTGAGACACACACTCACAATTCTATTGAGAGAGAGGCGAAGAGGAACTGTAGGAAGGGGGGTAAAGTGGGAGAGAAAAAGTATGGCAGGAAAGCATAAGAAAAAGAAAAGAAAAAAAGGAATGAGATGGTTACCAACTTTTTTATTTCTTTTTTTTTTTTTTAATTGATCCTTGTGTTGTAAGATCGGGGAGGATAGAGCTGAACTGAGAGAGTGGAATCAGAGGGAGCTCTCACCCATGGACAGCGAATGAACGGATGTCGGATGGGGTCGAAGAGGGGAAAAGGTTGGGACGTGACGGGGCGAGGAATTTTGGGTCGGGAGGGGGAAGAAGTGGGAAGAAGTGGGAAAAAGAAGATAAGTGTGAAAGAAATAATAGAAATTAGGCAAAGGAAAAAAAATATGAAAAACAAAAAAAATAATTAAAAGGGCGAAAAGGGAACGAGCAGAGTAAACTCAGTGGGCGGCGGCGCCGTTCAACTTCCGCGGTTTAGCGGGAGGCTGGTGTGGGCTTAGGTGCTGGCGGTCCAAACAGCAACAACATCGCCAACCACGACAGCAGATCCGGGCGACGGGTGCAACAGAACTCCCGAAGAAGGGTGATCGAAGACGCGTTCCAGAAAAACAGAAGGGGACTCTCTCTCAGATACTAGACTGACAGTAAAACAAGCAGGAATAGTATCCTCATTGAAAGCCGTCATTGGAGGTTGGGGTTGAGGCGGCTGGTATACCGCAGCAAGGAAGCATAGGCGTTTGAACACCCGCGAAAAACACGAATAACCAACCCAGAAAACAAAATTTGCAGTAAGAATCAAAAGTCAGAACCAAGCATTCTCACTTACCAGCACGTGTCCTTGGGCTTTCTCGACCACCAGTTTCTCTCTGAGACCTCCTGCGCGGGAATGTAAGAGGAGCTGCAAGGCAATTGTGGTCGGATGCCAAACTGTCTCTCTTTGAGGCCGGTAGCTTGTCCTTCTTTATTGCCAGCCTTTCAATCAGTTCACTGAGTCCTTTTTAACTATGAGAGCGCGGTCCGTTTCTTGGGTCCCCGATGGATTCGGTGCTGAAGAAAGGGAGGTTTGAAGAAGAGAGAAAGGAATAAAGCAGTGGATCACTGGACGTCCGTCACTATAACTAAGTACCAAGCAGCTGCTCTGGGTCTTTAGTGAGAAAAATAAAAATAAAATGAATAACTTTTTTTGAAAAAAAAAAAAAAAAGAGGTACAATAAAATAAAAACAGGGTGTCAGCAACCCAAGAGCTAAGGTAGAAGGACGTAAAATAAAACAAAATAAAACAAATAGAAATAAAGCTGATAATATTTTTTTTTCTATTGTTTTCAATAGAAAATAAAAATAAAATAACAGAGTCGTGATAATAATTATAATTATAATTATAATAATAATACTACTAAATCTAATAAAAAGGAAATAGTTTAGGTGTGGATCCCGCAACTAAAGAGAGAAGGGGGATTGCCTAAGTGAGTGGGATTGATCTTCTGGGAAAGACAACCGTGCGTCTTGCGCCTGTAGAAGAGCGGAGAGATACCGCCGTGGGATCTGCTGCGTTGCTTCTGTTTCCTGCGCCTGCCGATGATGTCGCTTCTCAACTGTGTTAATTTCTTTCTGGTAGGGTCCAGAAGCCCAGTGTCAAGCTCAGACAGCGAGATTCTCGCAGAACCGCCACGAAGCAAGGACCACCGACCGGATAAGCTAAACAAGACGCCGGACAGGAACCACCGTTTGGGCTAAGACGACGCTGATCCAGCCGAACCACCCTTGACGGGGATTGGTTGATGGTGAAGGGGTTTGTACTGGTAATGAAGGAAGAGGGGAAGCGGAGGTGGAAATACCCATATGACACTGGTATAGATCTGGATCGATGAGGACTCCCCATTGATTGATTAGAAGAATATCGTCGAGTTTTTTACTGTCCCGAGCCCCATTTAGAATGATTAATGGAACCAGAAATTTAATCATAAACATGACCAGTTTGGAAACTCGATCTGACAAGGCAAAAGTAATCCGAGATAAATAGAATAAATAATGGAAATCTTCAAACTCTATCGCCATAATACAATTCTTATTCTTTCTTTAATGATCCAATTCGGTCATGCTATATAGAGTGTCCCATGTAAATATTACTAGACAGAAAAGGGCCTCGATATACTCCGTAGGCAAAGGGGGAAGGAAGCCGAAAGGAAGAAGGGGAGGGAAGACTAAAAAAAAATTAGAATAAAAAGAAAAAGAACCAAATTGACCTCGATAGTTGGGGGCCACAGTGTGAACTGTTGGGACCGATCGCACAGCTGTAAGTCATTCGATCATCCTGCACTCCCAGGGTGATGCTGGATCGCCCTAAAGCAATCAATAGTACTAAGAAAAAAAAACGAATTCATCTTTTCATTAATTCTGATCGACTCATGTCTGCGACTAAATTTTTGCCCCGTCCACCTGGCAAAGCTAAAAACATACTACCGAAGCCCCTGCCAGGCTATTTTACTCGATGTCGGGGTTTCTATGAAACATACCTGATTTTGTAATTTTTTTTTTACTTATTTCTTAATTCTTTTTGTATTAAAGAACCAAAAAGAGATGGGCAGAAAAGATCTAATGAAAGCAAAAGAGAAGCGAACATCTAGCCGGATCGTATAATGGTAAATCTAAGCAATGGCGGCCGCAACTGGAAGCAGTACTACTAGTCCATACATCGATCGGTGGACAAGCCGGGTACGTAGCCAGAACAAAACGAAAATGACGGATGACAGGCGTGTTCCAGGTTCGAACAACTGGGTTGTCTCCACGCTGGGCACGGGTCCCACAACATGAACCAAAGGACCACCACACCGCAAGCTTTGCTTTTCCACGGAGCATTTAGTTGAAATGATCCCACAGTAAAAGAATTAATTATCCTTGAGCCGGGCAAAAATAATAAAAGAAAAATGATATTAATCTCCTTTTGGGGTTCCAACCTTTCAAATACTACGAACCAAAGGTAAATTCAGAGTGCTGACTGTTTCCTGGAAGCGATCAGGTAACGCGTGAAACTACCGATTGCTGTAATGTGCCACTACGCACTATTATGCAGGGTGGATGCAGAGGTTGGCTCATCCGGCGGGGAGGAAAGCTGCCGGACCGAGAAGCTCACCAAGCAAATTAGAGGGACGATAATAAAAATCCCATCGAGACAATAGAGCTAGTTAGTTAATAATGACGCTGACTATAACACACTAGTAGTCAGAAGAATAAGTTACATCGTATCATCCAGCGGATGCAAGATTTGCGCAGTCTAAACGGTGTGGATCATGGGATATGTACAACAGCGGGAAACGTTCCACACAGACCAACGAACTATTTGAATCAACCTAGAGGATCATATCATCCGGGTGACGGTATACAACCTACAATGTGAAAGAGGCAAAAGGCGAGAGCCGACCGGCGCAGGGTAAATGGCGGTGACTTGGCCAGGGATGGAAAGGGAGGGAAGAGTCAGAGATTGAGAGAGATTACAGAGGAGTGGATGGCAAACCCTACAAGGGATAGATAGCGAAAAGAGGGCAAAAACGGAAAAGAAAAAAAGTACGACTTCGATACCTATAGAGCAATTTCATGAGACTCCCATCCATATAACTCCCTATCAACATTCATACTGTCTTCTCTTTTCTTTTGTTTCTTCTTGTTTTAATTTAGTTATTTTCTTCGTTCCCCTTCTCGGCTCCTCCGTAGTCCTCCGGGGTATGCCGGAACAAAAGAAGGAATCGTTGAGGTTATTGTGATATTCATCAACGATCCACTGACTACTCCGTATCCTCTTTCACCTGAGTCTCTAATCTTACACATTATAATTGATACACAATACCAATACGAGAGATCTCTGCTAGGCAGAATCCGTAAGGACGCTAAAGGGCGCCAGCAATAATAGCCTCCCGTCCAAGTGGGACCCTATCCGATAGTAAAAGAGCCATTGGCCACCGCCTTGGCTCTGGAGCTGGTGGTGTGTGCGATAAATGATTTAAAGCTTTCGGGACGATCTGGAGGGCGTTAGGGTGCGGGCCCCGCCACATACCACCAACCTAGAGGCTGACAAGTCACCACGATCAATGACGGCCGTATGTAAGATGACTAGTCATTTGTTGTATCGAAAAGATGGCAATATCGAAGTTGATAATTGAAATGGATAGATACATTGGCAATGAACCCCTTGTTTAAGAATCAATAAAGAGTAATAGGAATAGCCCTATCGTTATCTCGGAATGTATACTCCGCATGGTGTTAATTAAATGGAAGATACAAACCTCTTAAGAAAAAGTGAACATGATTCACACAAGCAATGCTGAAAAGAAAATAAAGGAATGAGAAATTTTAATTTTATTTATTTTTATTTTTATTTTTATTTTTATTTTATTTTATTGAAATGAAAGAGAAGAAGAAGAAGAAGAAGAAGAAGAAGAAGAAGAAGAAGAAGAAGAAGAAAAATGCAAAGGATGAAATTAGAACGATGCAAGCAAGCGAGGTCAACTCATGTCACACAACAACAGAAGAAAACCAGAAGAAACAAACCAGAATAGGAATGGCGGTAGGGATTCGTGCAGACTGCAGGGATAGATCACTGGTCGAGAAAGAACCACGAAAGCAAAGGTGGCGTGCGAGCAACAGTCGATCAAGGGCTGCTCTCTATCAAATTTTTCTTCTTTGATTTAATTAATTAATCTTTTTTCTTATTTTCAATTTTAATTCTATTTTTTTTTTTCCCTTTCCTTTCATTCTGTTGCTGGTTGGCCTCAGGAGTCTCGATCGGCTGTATTATATCAGTGTATTGTTAGTTCACCACTTTCCATTGCTGTCAAGCCTTGGAATTCCTATACAACATTGTATACAAGGATATATATTTTAGAACTCCGCGGCTAGGTACAACTCACCAAGCAATTTCTTCTTCGGTGGATTGTAATGGTTATTCGGTATCATCATAACATAGAAAATATACGCATAAGAAAAAATAACTCACTGTAGCTGTCAAATGATGATCCGTTCAAGAACACTATACTCTCTTCCCTGATCAATCCCTTGATTGATACCTAAAAACTTTTTTTTTATTCCCTTTTCCCTCACATTTACCCGAATCCTACGAGATCCGTGTCTAGCGCCGGTCAAGATTCCGATCCTTCCACCATCCTCCACGTATACATCGGTTTAACTAGTCGAGAGTATGCCGTTGGATAGATCAGAGGGGGGATGTTGAAGGGAGGAGAAGTCGGTCAAGGGAGCCCAACCCCATGTCATCCATAACCCTGGCCAGGTCCTGGATTCTCCGCCGAGGCACCCCACCAATCGAGAGGGTGACCGTGGTTGGCGTTTCACGAGAGCTCGCACCAACTTTTGCCAAGTCTGTCGAATGTGATGGATATGGAGCAAATTACTGATTTTGTCATCTATACGGATACCTGAATCAGGCTTCTTCATTTTTCTCCTTATATGTTAAACTTTTATTAATACATCTCACTGACGCTAGTCGAATGAAATTATTTTGTGCGGCATCGACTGATGCGACGTCAATCAATCTTAGTGCTGCCCCCCTCAGTCATTCAATGACGATAAATTAGCCCTACACCGGAGTAGTATCATTCGAAGGTGGCAGCGCTACCGGCACTAGGGACGCTTTGGGAAATCCCTCACTCTGAATTCGTAGAGATCGCTAGAGAGCCTCGAACTTCACACCACGTCCCCACCGGATAGACATGAAGAAGTAAGAGAGGTCATGACAAACCAAGCATAGCAATTATCCGACTGAGACGACACCGCACGGTAGACGGGAACTCGTGATGACCTTCGAGAGTGATGTGCACATCATCGAATGCGGATTCGGTGAGACTCTTCGTCCAAGAATTTCCAGGATAACCAATTCCCTGTCTCAATTTGAGTGGGCTCTCTTGATCTCAGATGATTCAATGTACTTTGTCTCAGGCGCAAGGGCAAGAACTCTCTGTACATGTCCCAACCGAAAACGAGATCGATCAGGGTCTCACCGCTTGTTCTTTTTCTTTCCGATATTCTAGACAATTGCAAGCAAGATGAACACAATCCAACCCCAGTGTCATTTGACTGACAAGCCCTATCATCTCAGCGATTGCAAGTTCGGCTGGCGGAAGGATCGGACGAAACGATAGGCCCAGAAACCTTCTTCCTGCGGGAGGACAGCACCTCCTCGCGACCCCTTGCGTGAAGTGGAACCAACTAGCGATCTAGTCCACGACACAATGCCCCACTCCGATGGCCTAACCCCACTGTCTTTTGAACGGACCTTGGTGTACTCAACAGTATCAGAGATACGGGGGGTGGGAGGGAGAAGAATTGTACGATCTCTCTCTCTCTCCCTCTCTCTCTCTCCTTCTCCCCACCCCCAATCGTTACTCGTTCTCTTTTCCTTTTTTTTTTTTTTTTTTTTCCCCTTCGACCACCACCCCTTCTTCTCTTGAACAACCAACTTCCCCAAAAGACAGATTTCGATAATCCAGTGGGCTTGAACTCTGACCGATTGGTCGTAGCACTCTTATCCCTACTCCGTACTCCGTAGAGCAAATCCAATATATGAAGTGTGATGTTTACATACTAAGTTAATTATGAACTGTTTGTATTGGATATCAAGACCGTATTATTATATTATCTTATATTAATTCGGTTCCATCAGTCGGTCCTTACCAAGGAACCCGACTCCAGTAGCAGATCACATGTATCCTCATCTCCTTTTCACTGCTGAGATTATGCGACAGGCAAAAATGTGGTACTCCGTAAAGTACGGAGCAACCGGCTGAAGTAGTATCCCAGCACAGTAGACTAACCATGAAGCTACGGTGATGAACCTCCTCCCCATCCAATCTACCACATCTCTAAGACATATCACCAGGATGCCAATCCTGATACATGCTTGTGCTTAATACGTCCGCTCTCACATGGTTTCAAGTTCATGTATAGACTAAACTATGTACGTAAAATCGTTCAAGTATGCATGTGTATCTTCAATTAGCCGAGAAAAAACTGTCTGGATGCATATTTCCCCCCACCCCCAAAAGCACAATGCACAGAGAGGTCTGTGTTTGACAAAAGCAACTGTGCTCTGAAGTCTGGACGAAACGCAGCTGCATGGTTAATCATCATCATCATCATCATTATTATTATTATTCACTCTGGAATGATCGACCTGCTCTCTTGGCTAGTGAGGGCTCTTCCTTCCACACGCTAAGAGTTACACTACGTCCACTTTTCAAACTGCCGCGGCGCAGGTCGGTCATATTAAGATCTACGGGGATGAGGGTTTACCCTTTTTTTTTTTTTTTTTGGTTTTTTCCTTTCGTTTTCCTTCTAAGATTATTACTATTTTTGCCGTCTTTTTGTCCGCAGGTAGAACATAATCCCTGGCGAGGTCTGGAGGACAAAGAAAAACCACCCCATGTCGACTGAAGAGATCTAGCCACGCAGGATGGCAATTCCGCTACCGACGGCCCGACACCCGCAGCCGTCGTACATACAGTAGATCTTGCGGGGCTGTTCGACAGAGGATTACCTAGTTATTTCCTCAGCATGCCAGTTATTAATATGGACAATTAAGATAACTAGCCAAGGGGAAA